TGCTAGGTTGCCCAGCCTACCTCAAACTTGTGATCCTCCTGCTTCTGTTTCCTAAGTAGCTTGGATTGCAGGTGTGTGCCACTGTTCTAGATTCAGTAAACAATTACCTTTTAAGCACTGAGAATTGAACCTAGGATCTTGAGCATGCTAGGTAAGCTCTCTGGTACTGAGTTGTATCATTGCAGTTTTTAATTTTGAAACAGGGTCATAGAGAGTTGTCCTCTGGCTGGCCTCAGACTTGTGATTCTCCTCCTTCCTTAGCCTTTACAGTAGCTGAGATTACAAATGTACAAAATGATGCCTGGCTATATTAGATTTTTATGTAGATCTTTTTTTTCTTTCCCTTGGTTTTCAGGGACATATATTAGATCTGAAGGAGAAAGTCAGAACTATGTAAAAGACGACTTATTTTGTATCTCTTACAAGGATTCAGGGAACCAGAGATAATAAATTACCTGGTACAATAAAAATGAGGCTCTAATTAGCTTTATGCAGTCTTGTGGGGATTCTGTAATGGGATGGGTTTGGCTTTTTCATCATATTATCAATTCAAATTCTGGCTTAGTTCCCGTTGGACATCTTCATGTAAGAAAAGTCAAGTCTGAAAAGTAGATACTTTTTTCTCTTTTAAAACTGATTTCATTATTCTGTAAGTAAGTACTCCTTGGAATTGTGGCCATACTATTTCTAAGTGAAATGTTTTCGAAGTATTTACCATTCTGGTCACTCTAGTTTATTAGGTGGACTACTACTTTTTTGTGTGTCTTTGAGACAGGGTCTCGCTATGCAGTTCAGGCTGGCCTTCGGCTCACTTTGTAGCCCAGGCTGGTCTCAAACTTGCAAACAGTTCTCCTACTTCAGCCTCCTAAGTGCTTAGATTCAGGTGAATTACTTCTAAGATAGTATATTATGTCTTGCAAGTCAGGGTCTCCTGCATACCCTGTGAGTAAATCATAAAAAATGAGTGCCACTCATTTGTTTTTAAAAATCACACCAGATACAATTTATTGTAATTAAATGCCCTTTCTAATCATTGACATGTCTTCTGAATCACTTGTCTTATTTGTTTTTTGTTTTTTTAAAATTTTATTTAAAAGGATAAAGAGAAAAACACAAAACAAAACAAATCGGTGTAAGGGTACACATAGTACAGAACTACAAAAAAAAAAAAACCAGTAAGAAATCACCTGTTAGTAGATTACATATTATCATCTTAGAAATAGTTGCTCAAATCACAGTTTCAAAGAATACAAAGTGGACATTCAAACAGTGAGACTGCAAACAGCTGTGTTCAATGATCCAAAAACATTAATATAGTCAGCTATTTAACACCCCTAAACACACTTGCTGTTATATCCGTTAGAGCTCTTTTTTTTTTCCCCTCTCTTTTTTACAACAAAATTTACACATTTTGGATTTTATTACTCCTTAGGTCTTATTACTTTTTTGGGGGGGGAGAGAATAAAGTCAAATATGGCAAAACAAAGCTGTCAGTCAAAACCAAGGATAGACATAGCACATGATGTAAAACAGAAGTACAAGACTATACAATGGTTATCAACGATGTCTCTTGTTTCCTTAAAAAGAATTGTCTATCTCATTAGATATTATAAAGTTGAACAAAACAGTAGAGAACAAGTTGTCTTATTTGGTAAGTGAACATTTCTGGGATATTATATTCTGCTGACAGAGGTTGACTCTTAATGTTTATGTAACATAGATTTACCTTTCTTGAAGCTGCCTGTTTCCCCTTCTACATGTTTTAAAATCAGTTCTTAGTAGCCTAAAATGGATATATATGTTTGTGTATGTGTATGTACATGTATGCAGTTGTGCTTTGCTTTTTATTTTTATTAAGCACCTTGCTTTGTCATTAGGTTACTTGGTATTCAACTACTCTAAGTTTATTGTGCACACCTTTCTAAGCATATATGAGACTGGCACAAAAATAGATCTTTCTGTTCTGTAGACATGAGAGTATAGTCTTCAAGAGGGTCAGTCAGTAGTTATGGATGTAAGATAGATACCTATTTGAGAGGTATCACTAAAACACATAAAAAGATAACAGCTTTTAATATTTTTATGATGAGATTGAAGACGTTAATTAGAAAATTCAAATTGCCTTAAAAGGAGAAGAAATTTACCAGTGCATGAGCCAGGAATACTGAGTTCAAGCATGGCTGGATCCAGGCACACTAATAATATTAGGAATACTACTATCTTCTGATTTAAGTTGTATTAGTTTTTATTTTTCTGAAAGACTTTCCTAAAAAAAAAAAAAAAAAAAAAAAAAAATGACCATAATAATGACCAGAAAGGTTCTGTAGTCAAATCCTCTTGTTTAAATTTTTAAAAATCTTTAACTGACATCTGAAAACTGTACATGTTAATGATGCAATGCGTGATGTTTTGATACATGTATATATTATGTAATATTTAAAAGAGGTTTAAATGTCTCCTTAAGCATATATCCATTCTTTATGGTGAAAACACTCAAGTTATTGTAACATCTTCTCACTTTTTGGAATATACAGTATATTGTTATTATCTGTAATCACCTACAGTGCTAAGCATAGCACAACTCCAAGAATAGTTGAGAATCCATACCAGAATACATTTCTTTCTTCCTTTTTTATTTTAAAGAGTATAAAACCAAGGAAAATCAAACAGTGAAACCAATCAAAGTGAGCCGGTATAAGTGATACAAGACTTCAGAACTGTATGAAATCAACAGTAGTTACCATAATGCCTTTTGTTGTCTTCAAAATAGCTGTAGATACCTTTGGACATAGTAAAAATCAAACAGAACAGAATAGAAAAGAAACAATAAAAACAAGACAGTGAATGCAATAAAGGACTTTAAAAGAAGTCAATAGAAAATCTAAAATGGCTACCATAATATGCCTTGCTGTCTTTTAAATAGCTGCTCCTGCCATCAGATTTAACATAATCAAACAAAACAAAACAATAAAGTCCAATCCAACAAAACAATGAAAATGATACGGTATCCAGGCAGGGCTCCCTCCTGGTGACCCCACTCCCCAGCCCCCTCCAGTCTGCGAACAGCACCCTCAGGAGAGCCTTGGGCCTGGCTGCTCCTACCTCCGCAGCGGCCCATGCATGGCTCTGCTTTGCAGGCTGGGATCATCTGGTGTGGCCTGGTTCTCCCCCTTGTGAACTTGCTGACTCTCAAGAGAGGCTTGGGTCTGTCTGTCTGTCTCCACTCTGGCAGTGGCCTATGCAAGTCTTTTTTAATAGTGTCAACAAAAGTTAACAGCATTATAGAACATAGTATTAAGTCTTTTTTTGGTATATCTTAGGTAATTTCTGAGCTGATCACTGTGACCTGAAAGTTCCATGACTAGAGCAATTCGTGGACCATGTATTTACTCCTAACTTTAGTGGTGGGGAAGATATACAGTTTGCATTGAGATCATCTCTTCATATACCAGGGGCAGTATTTTTCCAAAGGATAATTTTTACCTCTAACTTGATTAGACAAGCATATTCATTACTTATGTTATTTAATCACAGGTGGTGAAGCATTGCTACACTGCTAGGTTCTCTGTGTGCCTTAGTTAAATGATTCTGAAATGTTCTTGTACAAGTTACATGAGAAGCTGCTAGGTGTCTTGATGTGGCTATATCAGAGACCAATTTAGTAAGAATTTCTGGGGACATAAAAGAGCTTCTGTGATTATTTTTGAAAGTTCCTCAGCAATACCGTGCCAATAAAAAGAAGATAGACAGGGTTGCTGGGCAGATGATAAGGATTCAAAAGGAAGAATACCAGATTCAAGAGAAATTCTTATTGGAGAAGCAGTATCCATAGAGAGAACAGGACCAAGAGGGCTTTCTAGCCTAGGTAGTTGGGAAAAATACCCAGTCAAGAAAGCGATGGAAGAAGAGATTCAGAACTCAGGAGACACTTTCCAAAAGAAGCCTAATTTGAGAGAATCTGCCCAGAATCTTAAGAATCAAGGTCAGCGCTTATGAGCTTCAGTAGTTGTTTTTCTGGAGCAGTGACTTAGGGACCTGACTCACCAGTGGGTTTTCCCCCTCAGTCAGCAGAAAGTGAAGAAAAGCATTTCAGAGGCACTCATAGAGGGTCCTAGCTCACAAGTCTAAAAGTTCAGTGATGAGTCTGATTCTTTCTGAGTCATGGCCTCATAACTTTTTAAAAATCATTGATAAAGCATAGATAAAAATCATAAAGCATAGCAGGACGGGCTTTATTTAAGACTGTCATGATAGTTACAGGAACCACAGCAGTGAGATTTTGCAGTTGGAGAAAAGAGATTAGGCTCAACTCCAAACACAGGATGGGCTAGTAGGTAGATAAAGCCCAGGAACAAGATCCGGTGTTAGTGGATCAGAAGTTAGTGAGAGGTAACATCAGGAGTGAGGGGGATTCTGACCAAACCAAGCAAACACTGTTCTTGCTGAGGACAGGCCAGGGTGATCAGGTGATAATCTAGGGCAGTGGCACCAAACCTATGACGTGTGTTTTTCTTTGAAGACAGAAGCTGTCAATGTGTGAGTTTTTTTCTAAGCTAAAACCTCAGAATTCAGGTTTAATTATGGTGCTGGCACTTTGTGATAAGTAAGTGAGTTTGGGGTTGCAGTTCAGCCACTCTGTCTCTGATTAGAATTTTTTTTTTGTACCAGTGATTGAACTCACGACCTTGTGCTTGTCAGGCAGGCGCTTTTACTGCTGAGCAAAATTCCTTACTTCTGGTCTTTGATTTCTAAAAGGTTTGCAGTCCCTGATCTAGGGGTGGTGGTGAATAAGAACCCTCATCAAATAGCAAGAGTGATTAGGTATTGAAGGCAGAGCATTTTTGGTAAATGGGGATTTTTATAAGCAAATGCATAGAAATGCCTAGAGACACTTAGAAGCCTGACTAAAATTTGATTAAGGAGAGTTAATGTTTAATGTCAATAGACAAATTTTCATGTGTAATTTTTTCTTTTTTTTTACGCTGTTTTGTTTTAAACAGGCTAATAGCTCGTCACCTAGCTAAAATCCATGCTATCCATGCACACAATGGCTGGATCCCGAAATCTAATCTGTGGCTAAAGATGGGAAAATACTTCTCTCTCATTCCCACAGGATTTGCAGATGAAGCTATTAACAAAAGGTAAGCTTTTTACATTTGAAATTTCTTTGGTATTGTTTTTTTTTTTATTAGGACTCAAAGATAGCTATAAGGTTTTTATGTATGAAGTCTGGTTTGTTTGTCTCTAAATTAGTGTAAAAGAAAAAAGGATTGATTCTGTGATTTTCAGATGGCACTGCTATCTATTCTGCTTCCCTCCTCCAAAATAAACCCAAAGACAGCAAAAGGGGTGGAAGTAGAGGGACAGAATCCAAATACAGGATATTTTTTTGAAAATAATTATAGAGGTTGTGATGAATGCAGATATTTTTTTCATGAGTTGGCCATAAAAGATCTTTTTTAAAAAATGTTTTTGTTCCAAGTTCCTTGAAAAGGTCTAACTTAGAGATCTTCAATGAGGTGGTGTAGTAATATGGAAAATCTGGGCCTCACTGTAGTTTACTGTGCCTGTTTACGTCCCAGATAATGAAGCTAAACATTCACTTACTGGATTTTTATCAGGTTTTTGTGAAACTGGATTCCCTCAGCTGAAAGAAACTATGGTGTTTTATTATTTCCTATATAAAAAACTTACAGATTGGTATTTAAAATCTTAAATCCATCCAGGCCTGGTGGCTCACCCCTGTAATCTCAGCACTGGGGAGGCTGAGGCAGGAGGTTCAGTGTGAGCTTGAAACCAGTCGGGGCTACAAAGTGAGCCCGAACTGCATAGCAAGACACTGTCTCAAAATGAGCCCCCCCATTTAAATCCTGTGAGTGTTTTTTATAGCATGGTTGTTACTAATACAAATTGGAAATTTTATTTTGTCCTTTATACCCAAAATTCATGAGGGCTGCGTTGTTGTGTTTAGGAAATCTGTTTCAAGAATTACAGAGGCAAGCAGGTCCTATGTTTTCTTCTCCTTTGTTTCTTTTGACTTTTTATAATTCATTAGGAAAAACTAACTCTTGAATTTGATTGTTTGAAAGTTTAATTTGGTGTCCTATTTAAAATTAGCCCTATATGGACATTCTGTATCCATAGATTCCGCCAACTGCAGGTGGAAAATATTTGAAAGAAATTATGCCTATACTGAACACATACATTTTTCTTGTCTTTATTCTCTAAACAGTATGGTATAACAACTACATAGCATTTATGTTGTATTAGGGATCATGAATAATGTAGAGCAGATTCAAAGTATAGCGGAAAATGTGTATAAATACTATGCCATTTCACATAAGGGTCTTGGAACAGTTATAGATTTTGGTATCCAGAGGAGTCCCATGCAGACACTGAAGGACTGCTGTAGGTATTCATATTTGCATGTGGTTTATCAGACTTTGAATTTGGTAGGAATACTTCCCAAGCTAGGATTGGCAGACTTTTCTGTAAGTAATATCTAGTGTGCTGGATATTCAGAAAGCTATGGTATAAAAAGTTTTTTTTTCCCTTAAAATAGCTACTTTATTGACTTTGTGAAATGATTAAAAAATGAGGTAGATGATGAAGGAAAATTTTAACTGAAGGTAATGTAGAATTGAGACAAAATCTTAAGAGCACAGCACTCTGGGTTCAGATTGAGATCATTCTACAAGTCAGAGTTTGTGCTATTAAACCTTGGGAGAAGTTTCCTAACTCCATTCATCTATCAAATAGAAATAATAACAAAAGCTTATTAAAGTATGTTTTTCATGAGGATTGAGTTAATATAAAGTGCTTTAAAAATTGCCTGGCCACATAAGTGCTAAGTAAATGTTATTCTTTAGAGAAGGTTATTTAAGTTTTGTGGTACATTTCCTAGATTCTCAAAGTCCACCTGTTTTATGAAAAGATACAAGAAAATTTATAACAAAATGGATAATATACTGTATTATAATTTTAAGTTATTCACAGTGTAAGACAGACAAAGACTTGCAACAACAGATAATAGCATGAAATTTTCTTTGTAATGAAGATACAGTACAGTACTGTATACTGTACTGTATGTAGTATAAATGGAACAACTTAGTGTATATAAATGTTTTTGAAATAGTGAAATAGGTAATTTGCAGAATTATTTGAACATCTTCCTACTTCCTAAATAGCCATTGCTTATTTTACTTTGTGTATGAGTGTATGTATATATATTTTGAGTTTCTCATATAAGAAAAACCATGCTATATTTAAGCTTGTGTGTCTGGCTTTTCACTTACCATTATGTTCTCAAGCAGCATTCATTTGCATATAAATGCCTTGTTTATCTTTCTTTATGGCAAAGTAGTACTCCCTATCTGTTGATGGACATATACTATTTCCAACATTTAACTGTTATAAATTGTGCTACTGTAAACATGAGTGTGCAAGTATTCCTTTCAACTCTTGGGATGAAATCTAGAAGAGAGAGAGCTGGGTCTAGTGGAATTTCTCTTTGTAGCCTTTTGAGGACTTGCGTGCTGACTTCTATAGTGATTGTACTAGTTTACATGCCCATCAGCAATGTAGATGAGTTCCTTTTTCTGCACATCAGTGCCATCAAGGTCCACTTTACATCCATGAGATCAGTGAGATTGTGGGAAAACTGGAGGAACACTATGGAAAATAAAAGGGAGAAAGGATCACGCTCCAGTAGAAAATACAGAGCTAAAATGAAAATATGAAAAATAAATATTTCTATTTTCTTATATTCCCATTTGTTTATAGGTGATTATTATGTTCATAATCCTTTGATTCCTATACTGTGCATTTTTATTGATTGATTGATTGATTGATTAGTTTATTGATGCTGGGGATCAAACTCATGACTTTGTGCTTGCAAGCAGTCACTTATGCCACTGAGCTAAATCCCCAGCCCTACTGTACCTTTTTAAAAAAACAGATTCAGTAGGCATATCATTTTGAAAAGAGGATAAAAGGATTACTTTTGAAAGTTGTAGAGAAGAGTACGATAGTGAAGAAAATACAGGTAGGAAATATGGATAGTACTGTTAAAAAGAAAAAAATTCTATATTATAAGATGGATAAGATGTTGAGGGATTACCTGTCAAAATGACATGGTAGATATTAAGAGGAGAAAAAAGAGTGAATAGTGGTTTTTATGGTGTCCTGAAACAGTTGATGAGAGTTGTCCATTTTTGTGCCATTTTACGCTTATCAAATTGTTACAGATACAGCATATTGAACCACTATCTGTAGTTTCTCCTGTTGTTACCCCTCACTCTTTCCAGTCTTCAAATACTTTCAATTTCTATTTGTTTTTTTGGCAGCATAATTAATAAATATACTTTTGTATCCTGATTTATCATCTATAGACAGGAATGTATTGACTTTTGAGAATTTAGATGCTTCATATTGTATTTACACTTCCTAGCTCAAAAGTAAGTATTTGTAGTTTTTAAATGGAAATAAATATAAAATATTTTACAAGAGTAATTAATACTGTTGTATACTTACCCTCCAATTTGGTAAGGATAGGGTTTTTTTTAAAAAAAACTTTACTGCTCTACATTTTAACTATTCAGTTTAAATTCGTGTTGCATTCTAAAATTTTTCTTTAATTCAACTTTTTTTAACTTCATACATTGGTTGGTTGTTTTAATTCGGTAATGTATGTAAATAAATGTAAGAGACACTTGAAAAAATATCATTAAGATAAGCTATAACTCTTCTTTTGAAATTAAAAGGTTCCTAAGTGATATCCCAAGCTCTCAGATTCTTCAGGAAGAGATGACTTGGATGAAGGAGATTCTTTCCAACCTGGGCTCCCCTGTTGTGCTTTGCCATAATGACCTATTGTGTAAGAATATAATCTACAATGAGAAACAAGGTAGGTATTTAACCTTTAGCAGTAACAAAAAGTTGATTTCTAAAATTTTCTTAATTGTCTTTTGATTTTTAAATAAATAAAAAATAAATGCAATTCTATTGCAAGGTTTAAAAACATGCATAAAACTTTAAGTATTTTCTTTTAGGTTATAAGGTCATGATAACTGATAAATTAACAGTATACCATATATTTGTATAAAATATGTTTTTAGAAATTGGTTTGTTAGAAATAGTTGTGGCTTCTGTTGGATATTTAAGTATATATAAAATGATGAAATGATTTTGTTTATACATGTAATTCTAAAACCTATTTGATTATGACTTGAAAGTGCACCTGCTTGTAAGGGGGTTATGGAAAAATCAAATTGACATTGCACTGCTTTATTTCTGTTTTCATAGAACTTTTCTGACAGTGTTGGGAAAGCTAAAAGAAACAAATGTATCTAGGTTTTTCATCACCTGCTTATTGTGCTGGTTTGTTATATGTGTTGATGCTAAGCAGAGAGCCAGAGATGGAGGAAATATCTGTAGTTGCTCAAATTTACATCTACTAAAGTGATAATCAAGAAGCTTTTGTTAAATAGTTACAATTTTTGTTGGAGTAGATGTTGATATTTTTAGGTGGAATGGTTTTTGTGAATGTTCATATATTGTATTCAAATTTTCTGTTTTCTTATCTAAGAAACATTCAGTTGTGTTATATCATTGGGTAAAGTGGCTTGAGGTTTGGTTGCTAAAGGATAGATACCCTTCAAAGGCTAAATTGACATTTAAAGATTTAATTTTGGTTAAAGGATTAGTATTAATTGAAAAAAGTACGCTTTAACTGTGAAGCTGTTTCTTTTCACGGAAACAGAAGTATGCTGTTACTAAAGCCAAAGAATTCTCATTAACATGGTCATAATTATACTAAGTTACTGCTTCTGACCTTTATTATTGTGATTGGGACTATTCTGATACAAAGTTTCTTAGTATTTATAGCCAATTTTAACTTAAAAACTAATCAAAGGAACACTGTCAAGGGTTGAGTATTGTTTATATTTGGTATTTTAATGTGGATTAAAACTTACATTTTTAAATACACTGAGCTATGGAGTCAGTTTTTATTTTAAATTTCACGTACACTGTAAACTCTTAAGTACTTGGCAGTGTCCTTTAATTATTGACCATTTATATAATACATACTTACAGTATAAACGCACTGTACAGAATACTAATAACCAAATCTCAATGCCATTTGTAGACAAGAATGTTAGTTACACAGTGTAGCAATGTATTAGCTGTCAAGTTCGGTGTAGGACCTAATAACACATTTTATATGATGGACTTTCAAGTGAGGGACTTCATCTTACATTTGAAGTGGACACTCAGCTTTATTTTTAACTGCAAGCTAATAAAAAGAATCTGTTATTTCTTTTGGAATATAATTTAACTTTCCATATTTTTATTTTTATGTTTCTTTTGCATATTCATTTCATAGAACAAACTTGTTTTAAATACTAAAAATAAGGGACCAAAAAAATCAGATTACTTTGTTTTAGGTATTTTACTTTTCATTTAAATAGTTGCCTATCTATATTAAAAGTTTCTGTATTTTCAAACTGTATCTTTATGCTTCAGTTTGGCTTGAACAAGTCAAAGTTGTGCATGTGTACATGCGTGTGTATATCTGTGGGCACACATCCACACACACTCAAAAGTTACCCACAAGCATGCTTTCCTGTCTTGATTTTTATTTCTTGCATAGGAGAATGCAGTCAACTCCACAAATGTAACTATATTGATGTATTTTTTAGAGTTGGCCCTTTATCAGTAGATGTCTGTTTTGTACCATTTGTTTCTTCCTGTGTTTGTGATTGTGTTTGTTCATTATGGAAAGATTGTGGGGGTTTTCTCCCACTTTTTTTTTCAGTATTTTTATAATATTTGTAGGAAGGCTAATTTGGACCTGTAGCATCCTTTTGAAAAAAAAAATCACATTCCTATGTGAATAGTTGGTACATCAGCATTAAGAAAATATAGTTACAATGTTCAGGAAGTATTTACACTCAAGGAGGTATGTTAAGCTTATTCTAGTTTTTTGGTGTCAATTTTCAAATTAGGAGCTGATGGTTTGGGAATGATGGAATCATATAGCTGAGTTGTTGGTTATGAGTAGAAGATAACAACCCTCATAAGTCTATAAATTTAGTTTAATGTACAAAGTTTACAATCTACAGAGTATACAAAATATAAGTTTAATGTACAAAGGCTTCCTATTTGACACTTGTAGCATTGCATGGATATGGCAGTACTCTCAAAAAGACTTTAAAACTTCAAATGTAGACTTCAACTTATTTCTCTTCTTAGATGGTTACTTTTTTTACAGCATATAAGAGCCAAATTGAGTCTCTTTAAAAAATAATTTCCACATAGACTAATTTGATTAAACTACATATTATATTCACAGACATGGTTCATTCGTTGTCTTTCTTTAAGTAATTCATACAAGTGGAGTTCAGGGCTTCCACATTTTGAGATACAAAGAGACACAAACAAGGAAAGCCAAGGTACTGGGCTTAGCATCTGTAGTATATTTTAGACTCTTAATTTCTCAAAAGTGTAAATTTTAGCCAAACTAAATAAATTTATACAGGGTGATCTTGAAGTCTCTGCATATATTTTCCAACCAAAATAATTTAGCTTTTATATATTTGAACTAAAAGTTTCTAAGCATTTCTTAAAAAGCAGATGTATTAAAACATAGTTATGACCAAGATAAATCAAAATACAGATTTTGGAACTTAAGCACATTTTAGTCATTTACATAAGTGCTATTATATCAATCAATCATTGTATTTCTTTAGAAGTATTTATATTTGAGTTTTAACTTTTTGCTTGAGAATCACTATTCTTGGAAAAATGCAGATTTCTAGGTCTTCTAACTGAGACAAACTAAATCAGAATTTCCCTTGATAGACTGAGAAATCTGCATATTTAACAAATTCCCAGGCAGATATAATATGTATTTTTGAGCTTAAGTTTGGTTTATTTGTAATTTAAAGGATAATATCTCAGATGATTTTTGATAGGATTTTAAATCATACATACAGAGTATATAGCTTGGTCCATGTACTTAGCAGCTGTCAGTTACAGTTTTTCTAAGATAGGGACTCAGATTTTTTTGGTAGGAAACTGAAATGGTGCATCTTTTAAACTTTGTGGGCCATACCATAGTTTTTGTTGCAACTACTCAACTCAGTGTTACAGCATGAGTACAGTCATGGACAGTACATAAGTGAATGATATGTCTGTGTTCGGAGAAGACTTTACTTTCAAAAATAGGTGAGCTGGATTTGGCCTAAGCACACATAGTTTGCCAATTCCTGCATTATGTTTATAGCTTGCATTTTATTGAATGTATCAAATTATTAAAAGGTTAAAAATTGGATGTAAGTAGTATTAACTAATGGTAGACTTACAAGTATGAGATGATTTGGTTTGTTTTTAGGAGCAACTTTAGTTTTCTCAGCTATAATTTAATAATTAAGTTAAAAGTTTAAAATATATTTGTGTATGTATATACATACTTGCACATTGCACCGACGGAGAATAAGCACCTTGTTACTTGTGGCCAGTTTACATATGCACGCCTCCCAGGGACTACAGGGATCACAGGAGGAAAACCATCTTTGCTTGTTCTCAGCCTACTGGGGGATGAATGGGCTTCTGTTTGGAGCTGATGATAGTTGTCAGAATTTTCAGAGATGAAAGTTAGTGCACAAAATTCAGTGGTTGGTAAGCAGTGGTTTTCCTTCTCTTCAGTGAGATGTCCCTAAAAGTAGGAAAAGACTTACTGAGATGAGATAGAATTCGGAACAAATAAGAAACCAAAAACAGTAGTTCTTGCTCCGGAACTGTTAAGATTTGACATGCATCTTTAAAATTAATTAATTACTAATTCAATAGAACTTATAAGAAGCAAGTTTTAGTATTGTTTATTGACTGGCTTCAAATCTAATATTTTAACTTTAGCTAATCTTTTATGGGCATCTCAGGAGTAATTGCTAAAGCTTTTGAGATTGCTGTCATATTTTAATGCTTTTGTCAGAATGTTTATTCTGATGATTTTTTTTTTTTGTCTTTTTCGTTTTTATTGGTACCAGGGATCGAACTCACGACTACCTGCTTGCAAGGCAGGCGCTTATGCCGCTAAGCTAATTCCCCAGCCCCAATTCTGATGACTTTTGATTGTCCCCTTCCCATTTCTTTATGAAAGCTCATATGAAGATCTAATCTAATGGCTGAGTGCACTGGCACATATCCATAATTGGAGCCATTTGGGAGGCTGAGGCAGGAGAACCACAATCTTGAGACCGGCCTGTGCAATGTATTAATAAGATCCTGTCTCAAAAAGGAAAAAAGTCCTGGGGCTGTAGTTCATTGGTAGAATACATGTCTCTTTTGTGTGAGGCTCTGAGTTCAACTCTCAGCACTGCACAACAGATATACTATAAAAAAGAGGTGCTATATAAAATCAAACTTCAGCAATGGAGATCTCTATTTTTCTTTGTTAGCAAAATACAAGCTGATTTATAGTTCTTTAAGGAAATACAAATGCATGAAAAAGGAAAGTATTTTCTTGGATTTATACAATAAACCAGGTTTTTCTTTGGAGATTTACCCAATATAAATAGGAAGTAGACAAATCGTCATTTGTAGTCATTTGGTTGGCTTTGTTATCCACTGTGTAATTAATTAATATCAGGCAATATTGATACAGAATGCTTTTCATTTGTTTTATTTTAAAATTTAAAGATCAGTCTTACTAAGAGATTTACAAATGTCTCAGAATATTCATGCTAGACTGAGACATGTATAGTCCTTTAAAGAACTGTCCTTGAGAAATGTTTTCCTATATAAACAAATATACTTACTGATGGAATAACTAAAATATGTGCATGACCATATAAATATATTTGTGTCTAAACAAATGGATTCATATTTACATGTAGCTGTCTCTGCCTGCTTGGAGTGCCTCCCCATCCACACTCAGCTGAAGAAAAGTCACATGCACAGTATTTGGTACAAATGTGTACAAAAACCAAGAAAATATTTTAAATCAATGAATATACATACCTGATAATCCAGTTTTCTTTTCCCATGCATTATGGGAATTTTCAAATGAAATTTTAAAAGAATTACAGTGTACTCACCTATGTGTCTGACCTCCAGATTCTAGAATTGTTGACAAGTTTGTGCTTTATCACATCATTTCACCTATCCATTTATCAGTTCATCTTATTATTATTTTTATGTATTTCACAGTTGCAGACATTAGTGACCTTCATGCCTCAGCACTTCAATATGAGTAACTTTGAGTTCAGAATTTCATTATATACAAGTCTTTAAGCACACCAAGGTGGCCATAGTGGCTGATGTGTGCCTGTAGTTCCAGGTGCTTGGGAAGCTGGGCACAGGAGGTTAGGGTAGTCCAGGTAACTTAGTCTCATTTCAATGAAACAAAAAATATAAACATACAATTCAGTGAATTTTGACAAATGTGTACATCCTTGTAACCCAAACACCTACAAAAAGTATAGAACATTTCATCACCCAAGAAAGTTTCTCATACTTTTCTGAAGGATAATCTTAACCCTGTATTCATAGTCTGTACCAGTGGTTAGCAAAATATCATATCCTGTTAAGTCAGATAATAAGAAATCTACATGAATTTAAAAACTCCTGAGTGATCTAAAATTATAACTAGCTTTTTTTTAAACAAATGCATTTGGGTCCACTATATTCAATCATATATTTGGATAAGAATGACAGAAAACACCACACTTCTTTCTTCTGTATTTTATGAATATTTGTGCTCTTCTCCTTTAAACATACATTCTTATTATGTCATAGCTTTCTTTGCCAATCCTTTATTTACTCTACTGGTTTTTTGAGTCCTTCTCATGTGCTAGGAATTAATTGCTGTGATTTATATGATGAAAAGTGAAAGGTACCTTACTGCCCCTCCAGGAAGCTGTGTTATAGAACAGTCACATGACAGAAAGTTCTAAATGTTGAATATACCAAACGCAGCGCACTTGTTTCCCAGATTCAGTACTCCCTGTGGTTTCCAGTGTAAGGGAGAAAGCTTTTGTAACATTACTATAACTACTGTTACTTTTTAAATTATCTTTCTGCCTGCCTAAGAGCAGAATGAATGAGTTGGAACGAGTTTTAGGTTTACACTTGACTATTTTACTTTTCATTTTTATTTCTTTATCATTTGCAATAACATAGTAGAATCCAGGGATGTGTCATGTGATAAAATTATATAACTGTAAATTTCACTATGTTTTTTGTTTTAAAGTATTTTTGAAATTGGAAGACTTTTTAGTATGCTGAGATTTGAACAGTATAATCACTGTGTGAATTTTTATTACTTTAGAAAATATAAAGGAAATAGTTAAAACTCCAGAAGGTAACCTTTGAAAATTCAGATTACCATTTTATCTGTTAATCATATCCTTTACCCATTATGTGTTTGTCATTGTGTTAATTATATAAAGGTAAAATTCAGTGCTAGGCTTTAAACTAGTGGATTGTTGGTGTTTTAGAGGCCAACGATCCTTGAGAACCTTGCAAATTGAGAATCCCTGCTTGCCTCCTGAGAATACACACATAACATTTTAAGGAATAGTCTCATTGCCCTCCACCCTTAAACCTCAGTTCATGGAAAATTTTAGAATCAAAAACTACATTTATAGGAGAAAAGAAATAATATTTTCTTTTGATAGGAAAGCATTTTCCAATACTGTAATTTGATTTTTCTGGCACCCTACATAAGGCAGTAAGCCTAATTTTACTTTGTTGCAGAAGATTAAATTTAAGGTTGAGTTCCACTTTGTTTGTAATAATTTGAAAAAGAATAGTTAATGCAGATTTTTTAAAAAAATTTCTTTCCTTTTAAGCTTTGTGTCTTGTAAAATGTGAGTTTGCCAAATTTTCTTCATCTGCTACAGATTAGGTATGCCATTGTTGCTGCCATGTGGCGGCGCACCCCGTGCTTCTTAAACGCACAGACTGGAGGTTTATCGCATCACTTGTTCACATGCACGGAGCCTGGTAACAGCCTCATCTGTATCTTGTTAGCTTCATTTTCTTATTTTTAAATTTCATTATTTATAAACTCAACATAGCGTTTAAAAATAAAGGCTAGATTTAATGAATTAATGTTACTACAGAAAGTCATTGCTAAAATTGTCATGCTGAAACATTTTGTTAAAATGGTCTGTGTTTTAATTAAACTATTTACAGGCAGGCATGTTTTTAACCTGCCATTTTAACTATATTTGCCAAATTTTAAATATAATTTGAAAATTAAAACTGAAATAGAAGCTTTTATTTATGTGGCAAAAGTAAGCTTCAAAACTGGGCTGTGTATTTTTATTGGCTTGTAACAGTTGATATGAGCTCTACAAGAATTTGTGTTTAAAGAGCTAAAGCAATCAACAGCTGCAATCTTATAAGTTATGTATTAAAACTGTTCAGTAGGCTCAGGTTATGCTTTGATAAATCTTGTATCCTGATTGTTTGAAGGCTTGTGGATAGGTATTTCTGAATCATTGTGTTTGGTTTTTTGCTTAGTAATAGATTCATATAGAGGATTCATCTCATTTTTTAAAATAGCATTTTCCTCTGAAAAAGTAATATTGACTAAAAAATTTAAAAAAATAGAAAACTAAAGAGTCATTTGTCTAACATTTGTAATAAAATCAAACATTTTGTTTTTATTTTCATTCATCTTTTTTTCTCATGTAGTATGTTTCTTTTTCTCTGTAGGCATATTTAATAATTTGGATCATATTTTGTTGACTGAGTATCCTTATGGCAGTTTTAATTTCTTAAATTTTTTTTTTGCAAATGAGATGTTTTTGGTTTGTTTGATTTTCATAGCTGCAAGTAATTTTTGTGTGGCACCCTTTCATACCTGGTAACTTCTAGAAAAGAAGTTTTAAAATACACTCCATTCCGATTTCCAATTCCATAAAGTGATTTAGTTAGCAGTAAGAATTTATGTAGAATAATGTTCTGGGAATTGAAGAATGTAATGGTTGGAGTTAAATTGCAGTGATAATTTATTCTCACATTTAAAAAAAAACTTTTTTTGTAACAGTATTCATTCAGTTTTGCTAACTGGAATATACTTCGTCTTCCTTGTGTTTTTACTCTAGGTATGACTTTTTAAAAATTTTCCCAGTGCTGGGGTGTGAACCTAGAGCTTTGTGTGTGTTAGCAAGTGCTCTGTCACCAAGCTGCACATCATCCGTTCTTTGCTAGAATTATATAAAATAGTTACAGTAAAGGAGTTGCTTTTATGTAAAACCCTACGTTTTTCATCACTTTTTTGGCATATAATTTTTTTCTTTGTGCTTGCATGTAATCAGTGTATAGTACTTCCCTAACCTAAACTTACAAATCTGTATCAAAGCATTATAGTTAAAATACTTTGATATAGATTTAGGTATAGCATTATAATCTTTTATTTAAGAAATGCCACTGTGTATAGCTAGTGTGTCTGTTTTGTTACCTAACAGGTAGGAGAACCACAGAACTTTACCCATTTTCTCAATATACACAGCTTGAAAATTACTCTTAAAGTTATCTCTGTCCATTTTTAACCTTGTACCCCTGTAAGCTGTGATAGTGTATATAGTGACTCAGGTTAATTTTTTAAAAGATCTGACCCTAATGTAGATGGTGAGATTACTTTTTTTTTTTGGCTATATAGACGCTGTATCTTGTCAGGTAAAGCCCTATTCACAATTAAAAGTCCCTAAATAGGACTATTTCACTTCTCCAGGGAGAATAACATTATCTTTGGAGAATAATAATGAAATACATATAGTATATATGTAGCAAAAAAAATTTTTTTTTTGTACTGGGAATCGAACTCACAAGAGCGCACTTGCAAGGCAGGCGCTTATGCCACTGAGCTAAATTCCCACCTATGTAGCAAAATTTAAAATAGGAATCTTGAATTAGTTTATGTAAAAATTTCTCAAATTTATAATATTGAGACAAAACTGTCATTCTTTTTAAAAGATGAAACTGCCACCTTAATGCTGCTCAAATGTGGAAACCTTAGTTATGTAGCTTTCCAGGTAAATAGAACCAACTTCTTACATTGGTGATACTGTTCAATTCTTTGTCAGAAAGTATTAAAGCATTATGTGTCAGATTTACGGAATAAAAGTCTTTCACGATTTGTATTTTATTTTTGTATGTAGTAAGCTCATTAATTTACTGGTAGGTATCATAGATTGAGTGTTTGTTAAAATGGCATAGTTATTATAACAATTTCCAGAAAATAGTTATTACTAATTAAACTGAAAGTTTTAAGTTACTGATGCCCCCGTGTGGTGAAAAACATATTTTGCTTTTGGTAGAATCTGAAAGAGTATTTGTTAGTTTTCCCTTAATGCAGTGGCCATTAGTGTTCATGAGAAGCTGTTGATTAAGAGACATAATTTGAATTTTGTAAAGCTCATTGCCATAAAATTCACAGCCTTACCCTGTATTGTCTCAGAAGTGCATGTAATCAAGCACATACATTGAGACAACATATTGGAAGCTATTTAATTACAAATAGCATAGGGATTTTCTGATCTTATATGTGATCTTTTAATATCTTTGTGTTTGTGTCTCACATAGGTGATGTACAGTTCATTGATTATGAATATTGTGGATACAACTACCTGGCATATGATATTGGAAATCATTTCAATGAATTTGCAGGTAAAATCTAAGGCTTAAATAATAGAGTAACTTAACTTCAAAATGGTATTTTCAGAATTATTTTTTCTTTTTTAAAGATCAGCTGGGGTAACATGAGCAACTTTTTGTACTTTTACTGAAACTTTTTCTTTGTTTTTATTACCGAAGGAAAAAGGTTTCTTCCTCAAAAGAAGATTTCTTCAAAATTTCTCCCATAATTGCCTTCAGAAAATAATGGCTAGGAGAAAAATGGTGATTGTGGCTTCAGCCGAGACTTTTAAGGTGCTAAGAGTTGAACCTATTATCATTTAAAACCCTTTGGGGCTGAAGGATATTCAGCAGTAAATTATTTGCCTAGCATCTTGAGGCCCTGGATTCGATCCCCAGCACCAGAAAACAAACAAAGCAAGCTGTTTCTGTTATAAATTTGTACTTTTGAAATGTCTTTTGTTTTTAAAGTCAAGCTTAAACATTTTGATTATGATAAGTAAAATGTTAGTGATTTTTACTCCTAAATATTAATCTATAATCATCAAGTACAAAAGTTTAGCTGCTTTTATATCAGAATTCATTTAAAACTCATTTTAATGCTCTGTGTTTAGAAGCATGAACTGTCTTATAACTAAAGATTAAGAAAGTTCTTGGATGGTTTATACGTACTAGAAAAATTTCATTGCTGAATTTGTATTAGTACACATTCTTGCATTCATGTGTTTTTATGTATTTCAGGTTTGCAAACAAAAATAAGTTGGAAAATTTTTCTTTTAAATGAGAAAAATGATACAAAATTTTAAAACAAAATAAGGGATTAATAGTGGTTAATACATTACATATTGTTATCTTCATAGTAGGCTCTCATTATAAGATGTAGGCATGAAAAAATGATGAAACAATGGAAGTACAAACCATACGTTTTGATGAACTAAAGGAGATTAATAGTGTAACTATCTTGTGTATATCTTTTCCTTTCCTTCTTTTTTCCTTTTCCTTATCCCAGTTTCTCTTTTCTTTTTGAACAGTTTCTTCCCATTTTACAATACCTGTTGTATACTTTGGATCTTATTTATTCTTTCAGCTTCTCACACTAGGCAGATAATAAGATATTTACACATGTGAGTCTGGCTTATTTCGCTTATGGTCTCGGGTTGCATCCATTTACCTGTAAAAGTCCCAAGTTTATCCTTCTTTATGACCGAGTAGTACTCCATTGTAAAAAAAAGATCACATCTTTTTTTTTTTTTTTTCAATTCCTCGATTAATAGGCGTTTGGGTTGTTTCCAAGATTTACCTATTACAAAATTGTGTTACTATAAACATGTACATATATTTTTGAGGTGTGATGTTTTTAATTCTGGGAAGATACCCAGAAGGGGAATAGCTGGATCAAATGGGGCCTCTAGTCCTAGTTTTTTGAGGAATCTCCACACTGATTTCTACAATGGTTACACCTGAGTCTATACTCCTACCAACACTGGAGAAGGGTTTGTTCACCACAGCCCTGCCAGCATATGCTATTGGTTGATTTCATGATGACAGCCATTCTTTCTGGGGTAAGCTGTAATCTCAGTGTTGTTTTAATTTGCATCTCTCAAATAACCAGTGATGCTGAACATTTTTTTAAATATTTATTTGCCATTTGTGTTTCTTCATCTGAGAAGTACATATTCATCTCAGATGCCCATTTTTGGATTGGGTCTTTGAATTTGGGGGGGCCTAATTTTTTTCAATTCTTCATGTGTTGTAGATAGAAGTTCTTTGTCTGAGGAATAGTTGGCTAAAATTTTTGACTGACACATTGCTATTTATTTGCTTCCATGAAGCTTATTATATACAGCTGATAACTCCACATATGTGTTGCTTGCTTGCTTTATTTCTGTCTTTTTTTTTTTTTTTAAATGTGATAATTACTGGGAATTGAACCTAGGTCCTTTGCACTAAGCTGCATTCCCTACCATTTTATATTTTTGGGATAGAATCTTATGAAGTTACTAAATTGTTCAAGTTGGGTTTGATCTTGAGATCCTCTTGCCTCAGCCTCCCAGAGCACTGGGTAAATTACAGGCCTGCAGCACCATGCCAGGCTGCTGTACATATTTTCCTTTCATTTTAGTTGGGGAAATCAGCTGTGCGTATAATACGATAATAACCATATTAGTAACATAGTGTTGTGGATATGAATGAGCTAACCATAGTGCCTTTGAGCAGTTTTGTAGAGAAAAAATTTGTGCTAAAATAGAAAATTAGGTAGAACTTGAATGTTCAAATATAAGAGAAAGAAGGACACTGCAGGGAAGAGGAAAGAAAGTCTAAGATGAGTTCTTTTTCTGAGTATAGTACAGTTGCTGAAGGAGAAGAAAAAAGAAGCTGTAAGACTAGAGATGAATTTAGAAGAACCTCGTGTACCAGAAAACATAGAACTCTATTTCCTAGACTTGTATTTTTAAAACTAGATCATGAAGTAGAATTTATGGGATAATGATGTTTTAAAATTAAGAAATAGGAAAAAGGAATAGAAATATCAGAGTTGGAAGACAGTACTTTTTTTTGTGAAACATAACAGATATGTATATAACGTGTCAGTAAAATAATGCATTTCTTACCCCGATTCACCCTCAGAATAGTTTTGGAGCCTCAGTTATGCTCCAAACTGTGCTCTTAGTGTGCTAAAACTCTCTCGGGGTACTTGCTAAATAGCAGATTTTGGGCTTTGGGTGCAGGTGGTTCATGCTGTGTACTGTGAGAACTGATTATGATAATGAACAACATTGTGCCTTAGCGTTTGAGCTATAATATAGAATGATTTATTAATAAATGCTGTTTAACATATACTACTGAATCTGAAATGGAAAGGTTCTGTTAGTTTTTATGAAAAAATGGTGGTGGTAATGATGGTTAAGGTGTATAGAAGAGTTTGTGTTTTTAAAACTGCCATGTATTTTTTCCCTAAAGGTGTGAGTGATGTGGACTATAGTCGTTACCCAGATAGAGAACTGCAAAGCCAGTGGCTGCGTGCTTACCTTGAAGCCTACAAAGAGTATAAGGGTTTTAGGACCAAAGTTACTGAAAGGGAGGTAGAAATACTCTTCATCCAAGTCAATCAGTTTGCATTGGTAAGTTTAATTGTAAACAATTACCAGTTCTTAATAGAACTTTATGTGTTTATTTTTGTACTGGGGATCAAACTTGGAGCCTTGTGCTTGTCAAGCAGGTGCTTGTGCCACAGAACTAACCCCCCAGGCCCTTTATGAAGATTTGTTCAAAATAATGAAAAAACATGATTATTTACAATTTATCCCATTCCTTTGCTGTTGAGAACACAATTTTTGTTTCATTCAATGTTATCTCCACAGCCTGTAGATCAATGATGGCCATAAGGTAGGTGATCAGTAATAATTTATTAATGCGTGAATGAAAGTTAGGGGTTGGGATTAATATGTAAAGCTGTTTCTTATATCTGTTTCTTTACATTATAAAAATACATGTAATCAAAGGAAGATTTATGGGTTTTGGGGCTGGGGATTTAGCTCAGCGGCATAAGCGCCTGCCTTGCAAGCATTCATTCGTGAGTTGGATCCCTGGTACCGATAAAAAGGAAAAAGAAAAAAAGAAAAAAAAAAGATTTATGGGTTTTCCACTCTGCATTTAATCATCACAGCTCAATGCTAGATACAGATTGGGAAAACTAATAGAATTACATTTTCAAGACCTTTCTCAATAAACAACTAATCCTCTTCCTTTAGTAATGTTAATGCTTTCTTATTTTCCAAACCTACTTCTCATTATATTTTTAATATAAAGTTTCATTTAACTAATACTATTATTATTATTAGTCTTTTTGAGACAGGGTCTTGCTGTGCAGTTCAGGCTGGTGTTGGGCTCACTTTGTAGACCACGCTGGTCTCGAACTTGCAACAGTCTGCCTGCCTCAGCTTCCAAGTCGTAGGATTATGGGAGTGCGCCACCCTTCCCAGCATTAACTATTATTTTTAATTGTGACACTGAGGATTGAAACTGGGTGCTCTGCCACTGACTTCATCCCTACGTCTTTTTTTGAGACAGGTCTTGCTTAGTGATCTGGGCTAACCTAGAATTTGCAGCACTTTTGCCTCAGCCTCCTGAGTAGTTGGCATTACAGACATGTGTCTATCATGTTTGACTCATATCCTTTTATTTTTTAAATAACATATTTAAATCCTTCTGAAAATAAAGTGATACATGAACATGAGCTTTCAACCAGAGTATTACACAGTTAAATTGAATACCAAGCAGTTTTTTTTAACTCTTTCTGTATAAGTTTTGATACAGTTTTGTACAGCTGACATAAGGGATATTTGTCTTTTACAAATGGACCCTTATGGTGGCCCACAAATGTAGTGGTCCCTAATCTTAACAGCAGCAAGCATTTGCCCTGAAGCCACTTAGAATGCATCTCAAATAAGAGGGTGTGTGCTATATTGTGCCTTTACCTGCTGTTTTTATACCTGTTTTTAGTAGAACTGTTGGTTCAACTCGTGACATACTCTCTAGCCAGGCCTACAGTGCTTGCTGTTTTTGTTTATTCTACTTAAGTGTGAACTTAAAGTCGAAAATGCAGGGTTTTATTTTCTACTAGGTCATTTAAGTAACTTCAGAGTCAGTGCTCCTATTTAGATGATTTGAGTTAACGAGGAATGTTATCGCTGTTATATTCTGTGTTGCTCATTTAATATTTTCCATTTGATCTTCAAACATGTTTTGATTTTATTTCTACATAAGTAATTCTTAGTCAGCAATCAACTGTTTGCTTTTAGAAAGCTAAGTTGGATTTACTTGTAAACATTTGTATTTAGCACCTTTTTTTGGATGTTGTGGTCATATCTGTACATGGTATTAAAAATACAATTGCTTCTGATCTGACCGCCAGGTTCTTACTAAGTACACATTGCTGCTCTAGGTTAGGTAGATTAAAAGTAATGCAAAATATTCAAAAATGCTTATAATTTAGGAGGGCAAATAAGATACAAGATAAAATACAAGATAACTTTTGGAGAGGTAATATTTAACACTCATTTCTGTTTAAAATTGGAATTGGGAGAAAACTCCTTTACCTAATTTAAGAAAAAAGTAGCTTGGGGCTGGGGATTTAGCTCAGCGGCATAAGCGCCTGCCTTGCAAGCAGGCAGTCATGAGTTCGATCCCTGGTACCGATAAAAATGAAAAATACAAACAAAAAAAAAAGTAGCTTATAAAAGGTAAATAGAGTTGTAAAATGTGTCATATTTGATAAAAGATCTGGTAGGAAAGGGATAAAGGGCAGTTGATAGATAAAACTTCAAAACTCTTAATAGTGTTGCTCATAGCATTCCCTCTAAATTTACAAGTTTTGAATATGCGTGATATAGTAAGTTTATTATATACTGTGAGAGTCTGATATCAGCGTACAGTTCTTACTAAGAAACCATTGAAAACATTTCATTAGTTCATATAGTTTTTGTTTTAATTCCTCTTATCAAAATTCTGTGATGCTTTGTTAAGTGCTTTTTGCTCTTTTCTTGCATCAGGGCCTTGTTATCTTCAGGTAGAAAGGATATGCCAGAAAGTGGGGTGTGGCTTCTTGTTAACCAGCAAATTTGTCCTATTTCCATGTATTAGTTTCATCCCCGGGAGCATCATTAGGATTATGTCAGAGCTCAGATGTTTGAAGGAATACTTTATCAAGAGTGTAGAATGAAATAAAAGCAAACTCTTAGTCTTTCTTCTTCGTGCTCTTTCACCCATGCGTTAACACTTCTGCGATCTTGCTTTAATATAAAACAGTAGTAGAAAGAAAGGGTGACCAATAATGACATAGTTGCTCTAAAATAGGTTCAATGTAAGTGTACTAGTACGTACCTAATGTGACCACAGATACCATTTGACAGTGTAAAGCATTGATTCTCTTATTTTATGATAGATTCCCACTTTATAAGTTGAAAATAAGTAGACGGTCAAATGGTGATTTCATGAATCATTTTGTATTACCATACAAAACTCATTACATGTAAGATAAATATCACTTCTTAGAAATGAAAAAAAAACTTCCCTGAATAAAAATTTATTAAGAGCATTATTTCACCAAATTTCTTTAATGTCTGCCTGAATTGAAGGTAGATTCTCGGATCTGTTTATGCCCTGTGTTTCAGTGTAGCACAATGTTTTGGCTAAAGTATATGGAGAGAATAACTTCACATACTTTCATTTTTGGAAGAAGGAGTATTTTATTTTTTCAGATAGCTACATATTTTTTGATACTACAGCAAAATTTGACATGGTTTTTAAGGTTAGTTGCAGTATGTGGTATGAACATAATGCCTTTTTTTACTATTGTTACCTTAGAATTCATTGGTTTACTTGGGCAGGCTCTTACTTGTTCATGATTTTGTAATTTTCACATTAATTAGTTGGAAAATATTGATTTAATTTTGTAGGTCTGCCAAGTGTTGACACGTTACGTAATAGTAAGAACCTCACGTCTCTGGTGTCACTACCACTGTATAGAAGTTGGTAGTACTACAGTGCACTCACTGTCACACTCGCAAAATCAACACAGTTTTTCTCCGATTCCAATGCTTAGAATTCCAGTGTTAGATTCCAGTTTCTTAGATTTGATCATTGGAACAAATGCTATCAGTTATTTTCATTGAAATGCCAACTTCTCTTTTTTTCTATTGAGGGAAGTATGTGCTTCAGGATAGAAATTTAATACAATTAATAGTTTTAGTGATACTGTTTTCAATTTCCAAAACCAGTAAGAAAGAGAAAAAGAAAAGTACTGTGTATACAATTGATGAATAGAATTAACAATTTGTTTTATAAAGAAATACATTATCCTAAGTCTTTGTTTTTCTTCCCTCCTTTAAAGGCTTCTCATTTCTTTTGGGGATTATGGGCTTTGATTCAAGCCAAATATTCCACTATTGAGTTCGATTTCCTTGGGTAAGTTCAGTTTTTTACATGCATTCCTTTTGCCTCTACTTTTGTTTGAATTAACATTTAAACTCAAAAGGAGCATTCTTATTATTGCATTGTATTCTAAAGGCTTCATAGATTTGGTAATTGATCTGTCTAAAGAATCTGCTGTACTAACCCTTGTTCAGTGCTGTCACTATTAGAAGACTGTCCAGTAGGGGGTGCAGTAAACTAAAAGTCTGTCCTTTGAAAATTTAGAAAGCTTAGAAAGTGAGTGAAAATAAAGAAAATTTAAGTTTTTGGCTTTCACTAATTTTTTTTATCATTCTGTATCCTCACTAGGTATGCAATAGTTCGTTTTAACCAGTACTTTAAAATGAAGCCTGAAGTTACTGCATTAAAAGTGCCTGAGTAAAGAAGAGATTTCATTCATTCTCAAGTAGCTGAGCGATGGTTGTGAATTTTTTTCTTAAGCAATTCCAAAAAGCCAGTATCTGTTAAAATTCTGTTACTTAATTTGGTTATTTTGCTTTACAAATTATGCCTCTAAAAAGAAAAAAACAATCTTATTTTTTAAAATAAACGGAATGATTTCAGGAATTATACCTATTGCTGTCAGAATGTGGTGGATTAGAGATTTGTTAGATCTGCAAAAGATGTCAATTTGAGCCTTGCTTTCATAATTTATGTCATGTGGGTTATTTATTATAAATGTAACATGGTTCTGTGACTGCTTTCATTAGTTTTCTCTGTTAAGTATATACAGTCAGAGCACTCTAGAGAAATGTTGTTAAAGCTTTATGTTAAGAAGATTGATTTTAGAAAACCATTCTGATTGTTCAGTGTAACCTTTTATTCTGATTTCACTGTAAGTGAAATGTATCATTTACTTTTGAAATGCCAGTCACTGACCCGTATAGATAATTTAGGATGGTCGTATGGAACTATGTTTTTGGAAGGGAGAAATGTGTTCACTGTCTTTGTTGGTGATACATCTTGTTAAATTGAATATTGGAAAGCATTTCTTTTTTGGGGAAATACAATTTAGAATGAAATTCTTGTCTATGTAGTCTAGCAGTATAAACATATTTACTATATAATCTTGGAATAAGTATAATGATTGTTACCAAAATTTGTATTGAAAAATGTGTGCAAATGCTAAATGCAGTCATTTAAGTTACTAGTGTAAGTTTTACCTTATCAAATTGTTTCTAACCAAAAATTTCATTTTACTTGAGATGCTTTCTTTATATTAATAGTTGGTATTGCTAATTTTTCAAACAAATACACAAAATTTATCATACTTGAAAACAAGAAAATATTTAGATTAAGGTCTTAAAAATTATTCAGATTCATTTTTTATATCCTGGTTTCAAGTCTTAGTTTATTGTGTGTTTAGTGTGATAGTGATGACTTGGTACATGTAATGTCAGAGTAATATGTTGAGGCAGTTAAAAGAATCAAATAAGAATTTAGGATACATTTAGAATAGTGATCTTGTATACTTCAAACCTGAAAAAAAATGTGAATTAAGCAGAGATATGCATGGTAGGAGGGCTTCTGTTGCTTTGCTTTATTGTATTTTTGTTTATATATTTTGTTTGGTTTAGGGCTAAGAGGGAAGCAATTGAGTGGAAGGAAGTTAGTGCTTTGGAATAGTTAAGAGGGCTTAAAGTTTTAAAGACTGCTTTGTGAAGTTGTGCGGTCATGGTTAACTTTACTTAGAAAATTAGTCTGACAAGCTTTGCACTTTGGTCACTTAAGTGCTCATGTACAAAGTTAGCTTAATGGATCTGCATATTTCAAGTATGCAACTACAAATTTATCCTCTGAGAAATCTTCCGAGGAGTCTGATGTATTATTCCAAATGACTTATATTCTCAGACAAGTGCATTAAAATTCTTGGATTATCTCAAGCTGTTTAAAGCTAATAAAGTAAGTCAAAACACTTAAAAGGGCATTTTAAATGGTAAATTCTAGTTACGTAAGTAGGATCTTACTGTGTTTGTATCTGTAACAGTGTTAGACCAAGATTTGGTTTCTACCTCCCCAATGTCATAAATGTTCAATTCTGTTTTTATACACCATATTACTGTAAAATTAATATAATTTTGCCTAGCTGACTAAATGAGTGGAACCAATCAAATAAAAATTAATAGCTTTTTATAATGTTAAAGTGAACTTCAGAAATTGTTTTTGGTGGAATTTTCATCTATGATTAGAACATTGTGGAATGATAAGGAATATGTAATAGTTTTTTGAGTTTTGGCTTCCTGCCTTTTAAGATGCAAGAGTATATATCTTGTAGAACTATGAGAGAGGAGAGATCATTTTTCTACCTTACTCAATATTCTTATTTCCAACCTGGTTTGACTAGGGATTCACTGAGCTGTTGGGGTAGACTGTGCGTAGCTGCTAGCTGTGCCATTGCTGTAACTGTTTCAGAGAGATTCGTTTAGAAGTGAATGTAACCAGGAATGAAAGCTGTCGGGTTAGCTGGCCCTGAAGTGTGCAGTGGATCTTGGGAACATACTAAGATATGTAAAATAGTACCTTCTCTCTACTGGATTTGGGGTGTTTTGATGCTCCTATTTCTATACAGGTTTATGGGATCATAGTGCAGACTGGTAATAGGGTTCAAAATTACTTCCCTTTATATTGACCGTTTAAGGGTTTCTAAAGGAGGGTAAATCTCAACAGCACTCTGAATTCATCCTTCTGAAATTCGACATGTGGCTTGCTGAGATATCAGTTGCCTTTTTATTAAAGCTGAGGAACTTGAATGCCTTACCTAATCACTCAACTGGTAGTAAGCTCATTTTGTAAATAGGAAAATGGTTGTTAGATGTGGCATTCATGTTTGTTCAATGTTAGTCAGTAGACCATAGTGGCCTGGATGCTTTAACAAGCAAAATCCCACATCCCTTCCTCTTTTCCCCTACATACATTTATGATTTTGTCTGATAAGTAATATTTGATTTTTTTCTCTCCTAACCCCATGCTACCACCATTTTATAGAAGTCAGAGAGACGTGGTAGTAAATCATACTGTTCCCATGATCATCTGAGATCAATATGAGCACAAAACTCATCAACTAAGTCTGCCTGGATGTATATAAAACAGTGTAAATAAAAAATTGTAAATTACTGTGAATTGTATCTTGCTTATGAAATTTGAGTGTTGTTTTGAATTCCCTTCCCTTTTGTAGAAACCTTCCTGTCAGGAAATGACCCAGCTTGTTGGTGTTAGACTGGAAGTAGCCAACAGTTCTGGCTGCACAGAGAGATAACAGGAACTGGAATAGGGTTTATCAGCTTTGGTCAGTGTCTGTACTTATTTATTTAGCCTCTCAGTGCCTAATACAATTTCCCCCATTTGTTAGTTGCTGTTAATTTTTGTGAGGTCAGATTTCTGGAAGCAGTGAGTTTATGTACTGTTACTAACTAATACATGTCCATCTATGAGTCACAGCTCCAAGCTAAGAGAAACTAAATACGATTTAATGATTGCAAACTGAAGTATTATCTTTTTTCACTTTAGGGTTATTAACATTTTCTATAGAAAACTTTGATGTTCAGTGTGATGCTAAATCCCATATACATATAAGAGATATGACAATAGATCTTCAATATAAGCATATCTCAGATGACTTCTCTAAAGTTGTTGTATGATTGTGAAAGGCAGAAAGGACATAAGTAATCTTTTTAATGACAACTATTTCTATTTTTTACTAAAAATATTTTAACTTCATTAATGTATATTATTCCAGACTTCCACCCCCAAACACTGTCAATGAAAAGCTTAACCTGACACTTTTAAAATTAATCATGTATTTCTTTTTTACATAGAAGCCTTCTGTACAATTTTTGAGTTCATTGTTCATAATACAATGAAAGTATCCATTTGATTTTCTGCTTTAAGCTTCTTTAAAGCAATTTATACTGTTTTCAAAAATAATACAGACTTAAGATATTAATATTAATTATTCATATGATAGGGTTAACTATGCTTTGTGACAGGAGAGTTTTGTTATTGGCAGCATCTTGCACAACTTTACACAGAAGTCATGCTAGTAATTACTGTGCACAAAGGAAAAAGAATTACAAGTGTGTGGTTAAAGTAGCTTTATCTTTATTTCAGAATTGATTACATCTGATTTTCTTTAGTTCATTTATATTTCAGAATGTCCTTTTACTGGGAAATTTAATTACATACAAGACACTTATTTTCGTTCTTCAGAAAAAAAAATTTGTTGAGCCACCTTTTTTTCCTATTACATATATAACTTGTGTGATTATAGTGTTAAGTCTTGGATTTGATGTCTTTAAACAGAAAAATATCATTTAAATAATATCCCCCATCTTTGGGAATCAGACAGTAAATATTGTACTAAAAGAAAATATTTGAGGTTTGTATTACTTTTAATATTACAAAAATTAAATTGATGAGTTGATGAGTTAAAAGTTTTTTACACTGAGGATTTTCATTTCTGGATCACAGTGTGTTATGAAAAGAAAATCTGAATTATTTGCATGAGTAAAAATAGTGATAATGTGTAAACCTATTTTAGTCCTCTTTCCTCCTAAAATTTTCTTTTATGTCTTTTTTTTGTGCTTTATGTACTTAGTATACTACTGACGTTATAAAACAACAGGGTTACTATGCCATTGTATCTGTATTCACTATGAATCCTGTAGCTTTTCTAATTATGAAAAATTGCTCTCTACCCATATCTTTTTATTATCATTTTACTCAATAAGGGTGTTTGGGATTAATCATTTTAACAAAATGTAAGGATTCATAAAAGGTGAAAACATTGTATAATTATATTTCAGCTAGTCAGTGAAGACTAAGAAATAATTTAGCTAATTGGAATGGTAGGCTGTTAGTTAAATTTCCAAACTTTTAATAAGGAACTTTAAGAATAGATTGAAACCCAATTGTATCTATGTAAACTAGTTCCTGTGACTTGGAAAAGACCCCTGAAAAAGCAGTGGAGGAGATGAGAATGTTTGCTTGCCATAGTTTTAGTTGTGGTGTGTTGCTACTTAAATTTAGGTAGTGACATACATAAATTTTTATTGTTCAATAATCTGAGGTAGTTTTCTGTATGTATCTACTAAAGTATAAATGCAAGGAATCTGCAAAGAAGAAGCTTTCTGATTATACTGTATTTAGGAGCCTTTGTACAGCTAAGTCAAGTTTCCATGATATGAAGTATTTGAATTTTAAGATACACTATCACTCTAAGAAAAAGATATGATATTAGCCCATGTGCAGGGGAAAAAAATGAAGAGTAATCGTCATCGCACTAAGCTGTGTGTTGAATTGGAAAATTGTGGCATAAAGCTTAAATTTGTGTTCATCAAATGTGAACTGTAGTAGTACAATGCTGCTTTGTATATACTGTAAGTGCTACAAATAGTCTCAGCACTGAACATGTATTGATACCTCTCCAATGAATGCGACCTTTGATGTGGATGTTTGATATCCCTCAGAAAGTATCTGAGTGTCTGAGAATTTGTTAATCTGTTTGCTAATGGAGATACTTCCTGTTTCTCATTGCATATTTTCATGTTTAAAGTTTAATTTTTACATTTTTACAGCTGTTAATTTAAGAAAAATTAGTTCTGTGGATAAAAAGGCATTGCCTGGGAAGAAATTTTAAAAACAGCCTGATTCATGTAACTGCTTAAGTAAAAATACATTTTTGTTATATGTTCATGAACTTTTAATGAAGCTATTTGTTTTTCTGTTTAAACGTAAGTGATGTTTAGGCTTTATTTCTGATTAATAAAGCTTTTTACCATTGATTAAATGAAGGAATGTATCTTTTTGAAGAGATTTATATTCTGTAAATAAAAATTGGTTGTAACAATAAAGGTGGGTTCTAACTATAGTGTATCCATAATCTTTTTATGGTGTCAATTTACTGATATCTTTATTTTGTAAAAGAAATACAAGACTTTTAAAAGGTTTATAACAGCAAAATTCAGAATAGCTAAATATTGAAAGTAGCCTATATGTCTATCAACAGATAAATAAAGTAGGATATTTACAAACAGTGGAGTATTACTCTGCCATAAAAATAAACGAGTGATTTGTAGGAAAATGAATGAACCTCAAGACCATAATGTAAAGTAAAATAAACCAGACACACAAGCTTAAATATTACATGGTTTCTCATTCATAGAGCAAAATAAAATGTAGATAACAGGAAGTAGGGAGATAGAGCTTTTTCATAAGAGGGAGATGGAGGCAGGAAGGAGGGGAGGGGAAGAGGATGGAGACCGGATGACGATACGCGCATCAACTCACACAGGGCTGTAAACATACTACAAAGGACATATATGTTTGAAGTGATTAAATCATTTTCTGATTTCATACTACATTGTTAAGTTTTGAAAAAGTTTACTTTGATAATTTGAGAATGAGTGTTACATAATTTGTGAGCACATTCTGATTAGTTTTGTACGCTTCTGCTGGGTATGATGGTACATGCCTGTAATCCAGCAGGAAGGTTGCTATGAGGTCAGGGAATTAATGCTTGAGTTACATAGATAATGTCTCCAAAAAAAAAAAAAAAAAAAAAATCCTTCTGACCACTCCTGTGTACTTGGCGTCTTCACTATTCATTATGTTCTTAAAATGTGTGGTTACTGGAGCGGTGGATATGAAAAGATCCGTAAAATGAGCACAGCCTTTAGGCAGTATAAACCATGAAGAGCAGTTCTTTGTAACAAGATAGTAATTGTGTAGATGTTTTTATAGAATATTTCCCCAAATTGAGTGTATCTGTTCTCTAATGAAGCTGCAGGTTGTGTATCCTCAACCAAAACACCACAGTCAAAAGTGATGGTGTGGTGAGGGTTTCATACCTGAGATGAACTAGTTGATTTTGATTATTTGGCCAAGGTGTTGACCTATCTCTTCATTGTATATCTCTTTTTACTGTGATTATATAAATATTTTGCTGCTTGTCCAACATCCCACTTCCATCCTCCAGTTTGGCAGCACTTGAAAATTCCTGCCACCACCGATATTTATTTTGATGGCTGCAAAGTGATTTTTTTAGTTTCACCTTGTGCACATGTATATTAGCACTGTACTGTAAGCACTGGTCCTCGTATCTTTCTGAGATCTGTGTGAGCTGTATTTCAGATACACACTCAGATTTTGGTTTTATCAATTGGAATGTAATCTATTGAGTTAGATTTGTTATTAGCCAAAAGTCTAGAAAGAATACCTCCAAGTATCTAGTCCATCCACAGAGGTTTCTGACCACATTTCATGTTTCTCCCTTTATCCATGATGATACGTGATTTGCAGTGTATGCATATGTTAGGAATACATTCGTTGACTTGATAGCTTCAGGAGTATCATGAGGATGTAATATGTTAGTATGTAAACTACCATAGTTGGGTTATTCTTTAAGTATATCTGCTTGGGGCCAGAACTGTTTCAGATACCAGATTTTTAAATATTACATATACATAATGAGATATTTTAGAGATGGAGCTAAGTCCAAAGATGAAGTGATTTATACACATAACTTGAAGATAATTTCACCACCACCTCCCACTGGAAACTGACCCCAGAAAATGCTGAATTATATTTCCAGACAGGGCTGGCCCCAACTTGTGACCCTCCTGCCTCGGTATCCCCAGTATCTGGGATTACAGATACGTACCACCATGTCTGGCTTCATACACTACTTTTTTTTTTTTTTGTCTTTTTCGTTTTTTATCAGTACCAGGGATCGAACTCATGACCGCACACTTGCAAGGAAGGCGCTTATGCCACTGAGCTAAATCCCCAGTCCCATACACTACTCTTAAAAAATAACTTTGTCCACGAAACAGTTTATGGTGTGAAATAATGTGTCCTATCAGTGCTTAAAAAGTGTTGGATTTCATGGGATTTCAGACTTAGATTTTCGAATGAGGAATGTTCAACCTGTAGTGATTTTTGATCTTGATCACTTAAAGTAGTAATTCAGGTTTATCCATCTCTTCATTAGCAAATATAGTGAAGGATACTATGAAACTGTGTAAGCCTTTCATCATTCAGTTAAGCATCCATTGGTGAGTTTTGCCCATAGCAATTCCTGTGTTTGCTAATGTTGATTTTCTTAAGGATTTCTTTTTTCCTTCTACATTCACACATTATACTTTTATTATAAGGAAGAGCTTGCCTTCCTTACATTTATTTACTTTAATAGAATATACATCATAGTCAATTCTATGGGCTACACTCCATGACAGTGGTTTTGTCAGTGATGTTCTAGTGGCAGTTGGGAGCTCCTTCAGGTGGGCTTCTGTGTCTTTTTTATCATGCCCACATCACTTTTAAGCATTTCCTTTTCTGACAACATTCAGTGTTCCAGGCTCATCTCGTTACCTTGTCTGCCTCAACCCTCAATTCAACTATTTTTTTCCAGGAACTGACTCGCCACCCCACCCCCTAAATTAGGGAATGGTATTAAGAAACCAAGATCTGCGTGTGAGGTGTGCTCTGGGCTGTTACTGGGTTCCATCAGTGGTCAGTTGGAATGAATGGTACGCATCTGTATCCATTTGTGTAACTTTATGCAAAGTCATTTCAGACATACAGAAAAGTGCAAGAATGGTTCAATGAAATACATTTCTTTTGCTTTATCATTTTCTTGTCAGTTACTTGAAGAAAAATGACAAATCTCTTTCACCTCTCAAATCTTTTCCTAAGAAAAATATTTTGAACCTGGCACAATGCCACACACCTATAATTGCAGCTACTCTGGAGGCAAAGGCAGGACAATCAAACCATCTAGGCTGGGTTGGGCAACCTAGCAAGACCCAGTCTCAAAATTTAAAATTGGGGAGGAGAGTGCTGGGAATGTAGTTCGTTTGTCTAGCACGCTCAGGTCTTGGATTCAGTCCCAAGTAGCACAAGGAAAACGACAACTAAACAAGAAAACTGCTCTGATGTACAGTTGATCATTTAAATGAATGTTATTCTGAATGTTATTTTCCTTCGGTTGCTTTCAAAATACAATTGTGCTGTACTTCAGTGTAATTTGTGTGTATTGTCCTGCTTGGCTTTTGAGCTCAAATGTATAAATAAAAGATTCCCCATCATTTCAAAATTGCTGTCAATGTTGATCTGTTTTTTCATATCTGCTATGATTTTTGGTCCAGCATTTCCATTATTATTTTGATTTTGAGATTCTTATTCACTATGAGTATAGTTTTTTTTTTTTTTTACACCCTTGAACATAATTACAATGGCTTTGTTAATTTCAATAACTGGGTCATCCAAAGAGCCATGCCCATTGATTTGATTTCTTTTTTCTTTTCGTTTTTTTTTTTTGATTGAAGCCATTAAACTAAGTCCCCAGCCCTTAATGATTTGATTTCTTTTGAATGTGTTCACTTTTTCTTGTTTATGAATCTGAACAGGCTTTTTTTTTTTTTTTTAAGACATGATCTCGCTATGTAGTTCAGTGTGGCCATGTAGCCCAAGGTGACCTCAAACTCATGACAATCCTCCTACCTCAGTCCCCCAAGTCCTGAGATGACAGGTTTGTGCAGCCATACCCAGCTCATATCTAGCAGTTTTGATTTGCATCCTGGACCTGTAGTTGATATTTGGTAGACTTTTGTTTCTATTATTGATTTAATTTGTTCTTTGTTTTAGCAGGCATATAACTTTACCATTCTAAAAACCCCCAATTCTGGCTCCTTTTTGGTGGGTGGCTGCTAAACTTTCTAACTGGAATTTAGCCTTCACTGGGCTGCTTAGAATGTACCCCCTACAGGCGTATTTCAAGAAGTCAGTCAGAAATTAGGTTCTCTGCCATTCTCTTGGAATTTATGTATTTTTCCAGTGTTATGGTTGCCCTATATCTAGCCTCTAGTTCTTCAAGCAAGGCTGCAACTTGAGTTTTAGCTGCCCCTACAAACTTCTGGTTTATCACCTGCACCCAGACTGACTGTTTTTAAATTTTTATTTAAACTTTTTTTTTTTAATTTTAAAGATAGTAAAATCCAACAAAACAGAACAAAGCCGATCAAAACAAAGCAGCAAAACATATAGAGCATCAAAGCAGGATACTAGGAAAACCACAATAGCTACCATAGTATACATTCACAATGGTGGTCCATTGCATCAAATATAGCAAAATCAAAAACAAAACAAAATCAAAATATTGAATAAGCAAAAACAATCAGAACAAAGCAAAGCAGAACAATATTGGATTTCAAAAACAATATGAAAGGAAATCCCCCATATTTGCTTATTGCATACTGTCATCCTCCCAAGAGATGCTCTCTGGCCCAGGCCTGCAAAATCAACCAGACAATACACGCATTTAGTTAGTTGCTTCATGTACCTTAGTTGCGATCATCTACGCCCGTCCTCAGAACCAGCGGTTTTCTTTCAGGGGTTGGGATGGGGGCGGGGGTTGATTCTCAGCCTGCGCACAGGTAGGCTCACAGGAAGGGCTGACTTTTCTCTTCATGGAAGCTAGCTGGCTGGCTGCTTGTTGGATCCCCCCAGTCTCAGCATGGCCAGTTCTCCAGAGGCACCGACCTTTTTTCTTCCTAAGCCAACCACCAGCCTTTCTGGTAAGCTGTGCAAGGCGTGCAGCTTCCAGGAAGAAGAGAAAAGTCAGGCTGACTTTTTAATTCTTTGGATCTTCTCCTTTTGTATTTTTTGTTCCCACGATCTATGTGGCAGTAGTACTACATGCAGTTCTATCAATTTGTCTTCTACCCGTGTGGCTCCTGTTTCATTTAGATCGTTGTATTATTTGGCGCATAACTTTCTATCTTCATTGTGTGTCAGGGCTTTTACCCTTATGAAGTTTTACCCCTCGTCCCATTTCCTACTCTTTGGTCTGAAGAATTCTGCTTTGATG